GCGAATACTTCCGCCCCATCAAGCACGGGAAACATACATACGTATGCGTACGCACATATATTTCTTGTCACACCCCGCCTCGGGCAAATTTCACGCCGCGCGCGCGCGATCGTCCGCGGATTTTTGCGCGCCCGCGCGCGCATTCGCGCGAGAAATTAACGAGAGTGATCGCTCTCTCGTCCGGTCGGCGGCCAAAAAGCCGCCTTTTCGCCCAAATCACCGGTTGTCGTCCCGCTCGTGTGTGCGCGTGTGTGTTATTTTTTCACGCTATTCGTTAGGCGCGCTCGAGCTTGTACGCGGGAATTTTTTTAATTGTCACGCGCATCGGTCCCGAAGGCTAAACTAGATCCCTGTGCTAGAGCTTGCTTGCTCGCTCGCTCGCTCGCTCGCTCGACTATCGCGCAGTAATCTGAGTTTCTGTTGCTGTTTTCCGTGTCGCTGATTGCCGCGTCGCGCGCGCGCAATAACTTTCGCGCTACCGTGAATTTTTGCGGCGGCTTTTTTCTCCTCTTCCCTTCCTATTCCTCTTTCTCTCACTCTCTCTCTCTCTCTCTCTCTCTCTCTCTCTCTCTCTTTTCCTTTTTCCCTTTAGCTCCGGCTGCCTTCGTCGTCGGCGCGCGCGCGCGCGCGCGTCTGCCTGTCGATGTTTGCGCGAATACATGTAATACACACGTGAATGGGTGAGGAGAGAGAAAGAAAAAGAACGAGCGGGGGGGAGGGGGAGGTCTGTGCAAATACCGCGAGAGCCGGGAAAAATGACGGCGTTTTGCAGAAATCAATGTTTCTGTACTCGCTCGTTAGCTCGTCGGTTATTTGAGCACGTATCTGGCGCGACGACGCGACGGCGGACGGACGGGACGGCGATGAAACGGTTTCCGTTCTAAATGGTCGAGGATCGATTTGATTTAACGTATCATATCTATCTGAAAAATAAACACTGGGCCCAATCGAATTCCCTCGTTCTCGCTGTCATCGTTGAAAAATAGATGCAGCTGCGAAATGGCGATCACTTTCGTCCTTTTTTTATTTTTTATACGTAAACGCGACGATACACCGCGCACACGCGCCCGGATATTTTCCATTGAAACAAGAAGGAAGACAAAAGCTGGAATAACACTGCTCGAAATCCACCGATGTTTTATCCGTTTCTTTTTTCTTTTTTTTTCATATTCGACGTAACCTCGCGTCGTCGCCGCGACAAAATAATCAGGAGGAAAGATTATCGGCCATCCGTGAAACCACCGAACACATCTATCCGCGAGTCGATCGCAGCGACAAAAACGTGAGAGAGACGTTCAGGAGGAAAGGGACGGGAGAAAGAACACTTCGAGGGTGTCTCAAGTCGAGGGTATCGTGTTTTCGACAGAGTTTTGTTTTTGTTATTCTTTTATAAAAATCGCGATCACAACGCTCCAACGTGGACTTCACCGAGACCTCGTGAGTCTCGTCGGTTGTTTTTTTCTCATCGTGCTCTTACATACACCTTGAAATTGTTCGATCTTCTCCTCGGTGCACCCTCAACACGTCGCGCGTGTCCGCTTACTGTCGTTCTCGTCCTTGTCCTCGTCGTTGTCATCGTCGTTGTCGTCGTCGTCGTCGCGTCGGCACGCGTGTGAGGAAATAAGAGTAAACAGGCGGCGTGTCGCGTGTAGCCGGTATTATGCAAGCTTTCCACTTGAGAGGATAATTTTTCAAAGCGCCGCCACCGGCGTGGCACCCCTTTTCGGCTCGTCTTCGTTTTGCGGGAAAAAAGGCAGCGGCAGAGAGCGAGAGAGAGAGAAAGAGAGACAGCTATGGCAGGTGAGAGAACGAGTGGCGTGGGACAACAAAGAGGACGAAAGAGAAGTCCGTCTCGTACGGACACCTCCTGCGCCTTCCGGCACTTTTTTCGCTGTCGCCTTTTTCCGCCCCCTTCGCGGTTCACCCTTTCCTCCGTCCGTTCGTTCGTTCGTTCGTTCGTACGCTCGTTCCCCTTTTGCGACATTTTTCTGGACCGTTGAAGCACGAGGTCGCACCGCTGAGTCGCCATCCCCGTCGTCGCCGCCGTCGACGGCGAACTTTGTCGCGATCGCCCGCGTCCCTCCTCAATCAATCCTATCCCGGCTCCTTTCACGATCAACGTGGCGACCGCTACACACGGCTGTTGCACGCTCTCGTCCGGTTTGTGGAAATTTTCAAGTCGATAGCACGCCCGCTCGCCAAGACACGAAGTCCTCCTTGCGCGGCAATGCGATTTCCCCGCGTTGTTTTCTTAAATTAATCGCTTCGAAATGCCAGAAAGCGCAGTTTGCCTTAATCAGGCGGGAGGGAAGAAGAGAGGGAGAGACGAGAGAGAGATAGAGAGAGAGAGAGAGAGAGAGAGAGAGAGAGAGAGAGAGAGAGAGAGAATTACGGGTTACCTCTGATTATAATTATACAATTATAGCGCGTCTCGTGCAGTTCGTTGATTACATTGTGGAATTGTTCGAGAAACGAGCAACTCCCTTTCTCTCTTCCTCCCTTTGCTCCGCTGCTCTCCTTTTTCTTCCTTCCTCTTCCTTCTCTCATAAGAAATTTCAATCGAGGCGGGCACGACTCGCTCTTTGCTCACGGATAAATAAATACGCCGGCAAAACAGTCAATTCCGATCGAAATGATAGACCACGACTACGATCACGGAAATCGTATCAACTCGGGATCTCTCTCTCTCTCTCTCTCTCTCTCTCTCTCTCTCTTTCACTCACTCCCATCCTTTCTCTTTCCTTCCTTCACCCTCTCTTACCCTTTAGTCGTCGGCGTCAGTGACTCACGAATTAAACTCACCGGATTTCTCCCGAGCTTTTTGATCACCGCCGCGGAAACTTGGACTACTTCCTTCCCTACCTCGAGCCCCCTTTTTTCTCTCCGCCACCTCCGGTACCTCCTTCGTAGCCTTCATTGATCGTCGATTAAGGAGGACGAGAACTACCACCACTCCGCCGCCGTCTCCGCTGCCGTCTCCGCCGCCGCCGCCGCCGCCACCGCCGCCGCCGTTGCCGCCGCCAACTCCGGGAGCCGCGCGAGCTTTCACGGGTAAAAGCGCGCTCGCCGAGAAGCTGGCGTAAGCTGTTAAGGCTTTAATGGAGCGAGCGTGTAGATCCGCCAGCCTGCAGAAATCCGCGGGATTTCTGAGGTCGAAGAATTAACGCTCGTCTTTCGCTGCGGGTTCGGCCACGGTTCGCGCGCTCTCGCGCTTCGTACGTACCTACGTACGTTAGCTACGTTACTTCTGTGCCATTGACGGAGCTTTGGCTACGGTTGTCGATATACGAGTCGTTTTGTAATAATTAATCGACCGGCGCGGTAAGTAACGGAGCATTGCGTTCTCGTCGAGCCAAATCGCCGGGTCAGGTGTCGGTCGTCGAAGCGTAAAGCGAATGCTCTCGTGAATAAAAGAGGTTACGCTAATTAAAGATGCTTCAAAAGAAGCCGTTTTAATTCTTCAAACGGCGATCAGTGTCACCCTGTAATTAATTAATCCGCTGCGAGAGCGGTTTTCCGTGGAGTAAGGCGTCGCTTAGTCGAGTGAAAAAGATGGAAAATACGAGAGATAGATAGCTAGATCGATAGATAGGCGGGGGGAGAGAGAGAGAGAGAGAGAGAGAGAGAGAGGACGAGAGAGAGAGAGAGAGAGAGAGAGAGAGAGAGAGAGAGAGAGAGAGAGAGAGAGAGAGAGAGAGAGAGAGAGAGAGAGAGAAGGAGGTGAGAGAGAAAGAGATACTGAAAGAAGCGAGCACATCGCGGCGTTTATATTTTAATTCGCCTGCGTTCTACTGGGACTAAACAAAAAGTGCCGCTTAAGAGTGCACTGACTTTTGAATTTCTCAAGCCGTAGCGCACTTGCGTTCGCTCGTTCTTGAGCCGCTCTTTAATAATTAATCGATCCGCTTAAGGTCGTTTTCCGCGCAAATAAGGCACGTCTCGGTCGTTCGAATAAAAATTAACGGGATTTACATTTTAAAGCGTTGCACTCTTGCGACAACGCGCGCAAGATGCGTTCGTAAAAAATGCATCGTTATCGTGCACGTAATGATAATCGCATTCGCAAACTCATTATCTCGCACGTCCGTACTCGTGATTTAAAAAAAGAAAAAAAAGAAAAAAAAAAGAAAAACGAGAAGAGAGCGAGAGAAAGAAAGAGAAAGACTATACCGCACGCTCGCGTCCATAAAATGAAATAAACAAATTAAGCACACCCGCCGCGCGTATAATCTCCGTTTTCGACGCGTTACTTCGCGAAATTATTAAATAGAGCCCGACAATAAAACGCGTCGCGATAAAGCGCACTTGCGCCTCGTCGTAACGCAACCGGGTTATTCTTTCTTCTTTGCTCTCCTGAGATATTATTTTGCAAATTATATGCATTATCTGATTGCGTCCGCCGCTGCTTTCATCGTCGCGGTAAAACGCCTTCTACACGTTAGATCTCCAGTTTCCTCCCCTCCGTAATCTCGATATATCCTTTAGTAATTTCTGTTTCATTCCTAAGCCCTTCTCTCTTTCCATTTCTCTTCTTTCGTATCCTCGCAATCGTGCAGCTTCGTCTCCAATGATGAAGTTTCTTGGCTCCACAATCTCCTCTGGCTTCTACGATTTATTCAGCAATTTTCGAAAATCTCGTAAAAGAATAAGAATAAAATTATACATTGTAAGCAAGTGAAATTTGATTTCATGAGAAATGACACGTCTTACAAATATCAAACCAACAAAATAGAAAAAGGATACGGAGCCTGCACGCAAAACGCAAATCGCGAGAAATAGCACCTTCTCAATAAACTTCATCAAAATCGACGAGTCGATTTATTCACGGATGATATATCCCTTTGAGACAAGAAAATACGTACAAAACAGAGATTTCGAGCGAAATATTAATTGAACAGCGTGAATTGAGTTAGCGTTGAATAAGATCGAACAGCGATAAATAAGTAAACAACTAGTCACGAAGCGTCTCTCTCAACGACGCTCGCCGTCCGCTGTTTCAGGACCCTCGCAATGCGCCGTTTCCCGCGCTTTCTCGCGCTGCAGCTCCTGCTGCTGGTGATTCTGCTGGCGTGCCTCGAGATGGGCAGCTCGACGAGGTCGCGCAGCCGGAAGAAGCCCAAGGTGAATCTCTGCCACATCAAGGACCAAACTGCTCCCATGAACTGCAACTGTCATTACCACCGCAACGCCACCGATATCGAATGCTGGGTGGTGAAGCCGCTGGCGCGCGAGGATCCGTTCTGGGGCCACTTCGCGTCGCAGACTCACCTGGAGAAGCTGCTGCTGAAGCAGCATGAGAACGGCATCCTCGACTACGTGCCCACGCATCTGTTGCACCAGCTGAAGAACGTGCGCGCCTTCGAGCTCCTCTACGTACAGATGCCCGACCTCGCCCGGCACTCCTTCACCAATCTCACCGGCCTGTCCGAGCTCCGCGTCACCGACAGCAAGATCTTCAAACTGCACGAGTACACGTTCACGAACATGCGGAACCTCGCGATCCTCGACCTCGGCAGGAACAACATCACAGAGATTGAAAGGTACGTCGTACAGCGCGGTTGTTCCTAAGGATTATGTTCGAGGAGTAGATGCGTACATCTTTTTAGAAGAATAGGGGAGAAAGCGGCGAGGAAGGGGGCCGAAGGGGCAAGCCCTATCGCGAAGCTGAAGTCTGAGGCGCGAGACTTAGTTTTTGAGAGAAAGTTTTTCAGAGAAGCTGATATCGAAGCGAGTTTCCAGAGAGAAATTCGACCGAGACGTTGGTGTTGATTTTTTAATTTTAATCACTTTTCCGAAGTGGTTGGTAATGTTTGATGATTTAAGTGATTTAATTACGTGCAAGATCGCGATCTTCCCTCCCGCGCGGGAGCTTCGCGGTAGCGAAGGGCGCCTCGACGAAATTCCCGAGCGAAAGAAAAACGTCGATGAAATTTCCGCGCAACTCGCTTGCCGAGAGTTAACGCGCTGTTAATCGCGCGAGTTACAACTTACCGAGCTTTGAAATCGTACATTTTTTCAGAAGCATACTTACAAACTTTTACTAACCTTCGCGATATATAGAGAGCGATAACGAGATATCTAAAAGTAAAATCGTCTTCCTCCAGAATCATCGAAAGTCCACGTCGACTTTTGATAATTCTCATCCCGAGACGGGCAGAGTTCTTCCTGAACAGTCGGCGGTGTTAAGAGTTTGAGGTAGTTTACGACTAGATTTATTTAACTTTTTGGAGAGTGTCGGAGCACTCGAGAGTTCAATCGTCAAGGACGGATCGTTAAGGACGGAATATTTTCAGCCGTCGAAAGTTAATCGTCGAAGGATATAATTTCTCGACAAATCGGAGAAGCGCGATGAAAGATTTTATCGATGTCTCTTTGTTGTGTGTTTGCTCATGTTCAAAATTACCGCAAAGATAATTAGAATGGAAACGTCTCTAATCTTCATGTGACGATTGTCACTTCGATTGAGTAAATTTGTCGCCCGACTCCGTCTGTCCGACTCTCACCGGCCACGTGAACAGTGAACAGTCTATACACGAATATAAGCGTTCATTGCAATATCTATCAACTGTTGCTCGCGTGTCGGGAATACAGGCCGAGGGAAATTCTTCAGACGCGCATTTGCGCGCCCGTAGCAGTCGAGAGGTTCAAATCGATTCGATAATACGAACGTACCGACTCGCTTTCGCAGAACAGTGAGAAGCGACGGAGTTACTCACTCCGTCGCGCAAGTCGATATAATTCTCTCGCCGCGAGAGAGAACGGCTCGTAGATTCCTGCGAACCGCTCTGTTTCTATCGCGTGACCAAGTTCATATCGCGCGGTCGGACGTCGAGCCACCTCGGCGTGTATTTATAGTGTCGCGCAGGAGCCCCGGCCATCGCCGCCGCAGCGGCCAGCCGAGATTACGTTTCACGGCGTACAATCGCAATCGTACGAAATTTCGCCGATCTGGGGAAACCAAAATACCCCGATCCGCGTTACCGCGCGGAAATACACCCGACCTCCCCTCCGCCGCGTATTTTGACATCGCTTCACTCAGACCGATCGAGACACATCACCGTTGATATCCCATTTTCCACGTTTTCAAAAATTAATCGGAGTCATCGACGAACTCCGACCAAACAGCTCGGGATCTCGACAAGAAACCGAGAGAGTCGAGAGAGAGAGAGAGAGAGAAAGGAAGGGCAGAGACGAACTCTCACGGAGGAAAATCGACTCGGGCGAATTCGCGGACGAATTCATAGCCATCAATCTATCTATCTATTTTCCCCTTTTTCCCTCTCTCTTTGCCGGCTCGCCGCGAGTCGTGGTCTCTCAATTATAAATTTCATTTTCGATTATCCATTAGCGCCATTATGTCCAACCGCATACGAAATTGCTGTTGGACGCCTTTATCGCCGGTCGGCAAAAAGGCGATGTCGCCCGGCGCGCTCCGAGTGCTTTCGCGGAAGCCTTTCTTACGCGCTCGCGAGGAGGAAACCCCCCTTTAATGCGCATCCTTTATAAAGCGAACGGAATGCATAGCGTCATCCCTCCGAACGCTTATAAATATGCATAGACGATGCCTTCGACGGACGGTGATATTAACGTCTCGACGGCGACGAGGGCGTCGGCGATGAGGCTGAATACAGTCGGTGGCTGCGACGACGTATTTCTCGCACGAGGATCGCCTTTTATCACAGCCAAGCGAGCAGTAAACGCGCCTGTTTCGACGTTAGACCGAACCACGTCCGCTCCCAAATTTGTTCCTTTCTCAATGCAGAAGAGACTCGCGTTCGGAAAGGAAAGAATAAAAGGCAGAAGGGAACAAGAGGAGTATACACGCAAATAAAGACTATCATCACCTTGAATATCTTCGGTGTGTATAGGTGTGGGAGAAAAATTGATGCAACGAAACTTACACTTCACAGAAGCGGTCATCTTATGGCGTTAACTCCCTTTTCTGGTCCTTTATTCACCGAAAGAAATGTATATCAACGGCAAGATATTCAAGACAGTGGTGATTATCGCCTTATTCTGTATAAGAAAGAGAGATAGAGAAATAATATATTTATTTATTATTTTCTTTCTTTCTGTCTTAAAAAAATGTATATGTATTTTTGTTGGTATCGAGAAGCTAAGCCGTTGCGAAATACATTAATTATCGACGGAGATTTACCGCGTTCATTATTCAACGTCCGTTAATAATGCATTTGGCGTATTATCCTCTCCGAATTCTTCAATTAATTAACGTTAAATTTAGATAAATTTGTTGATGGTGCTGTGTGATTCGGTCGGTTTGAAAGTAGTCTCTTTTCCTCTCTCCTTATCCGCAATTTTTCGCTTCTCTCGTGTATACTTTTTCCTGCTCGGCGGTATCGCGTTGTCCTTGCAGTTCCGCTTTCGACTGCAGAGCGAATTACTCGTCACTTACTCGCGGAATTAACGTTATCCGTCTCATACTCGGCTCATCCTCCTGTCGTTTTTCTCAGCAGTTGATTTTTCGACGGAGATTCACCGTGTAAAAGTTCGCTTTTCCAGTAGCGACCGGCGGATGATACGCGTCCCGATGATTAATAATTCCTCACATCCTCTGCCATTCGTTCTGATATGTTAATTCGATTGTGACGAGCGCGCCGACTAATTTTAACTTTCAGCCGCCGCTTTTCGTAGTGACTTTATTTGCATATTTATATTTAATTTCAATATTCGATAATGCGCGCACGTAAGAGCGGTAAAACTTATTACACGTTCCCCGTTCTTCTACTTTTCAATTATACCTTTAACGTCCATTTGCCGATTTTTCTCGTTCGACTTTTTCGCGCTCTTATTCGCGTTACTTGCGGTCACACACATACACACATGTGTGAGAGAGAGAGAGAGAGAGAGAGAGAGAGAGAAACGATAAAGTGACATTTACAAAGGTAATAAATTCCTTATATAATTCAACCTTTCTTTTCTCTTTTACTGACTTTCTTTAATTTTACCTCCACCTCGCGTTAAGTCTATCGTATTATATCGCGATATTACTTCTATAATTGCATCTCGCAATTTTATAGCAATTTTAGTTAAAATGAAATAAACACACAAAATTTATTTTACACTCTCCTTTCTTACTGACGACTGAATTATAACGATAGTTTTTTATATCGACTTAATATGGAGCCAATACTTATAGCTAATGTCGAAGCTACGTTGATATCCTTGAGGACCCCTGAGAGACTTCTCCAGAGCGGCTTCAGATTTATGAGTGTCGTAAGCATTTTTAGAAAATGGATATTCAGAATTTTTTAATATCCCATTATCTCTTAGAAGATAGTGTGATCCAGGATTGTTTAATATTCCATTATCATCCAGAAATATATGTGGTTACTTAGATCTGTTTAATATTCAATTATCTTCTAGATAACATGACTATTGAGTATTGTTTAATATTATATTGTATTATCTTCCGTAAGACAATCACTCGAGATTGCTCGGTATATTCGATTACCCCGACTGTATTTAGCCTTAATTCCCAATTTCAACAGATCACGTGTTAAAAAAGGAACCGACACGCCGAGTCACGTCCTCGGCCATATTATTTTTTGCTCTCCGACCCTCTTCTCGTCCTAACGAGCACTTCGCGCGCTTCTTCTTCCAGGAACACGTTCGTAGAGCTGCCGTCGCTGCGCGCTCTCTATCTCGACCGCAATCTGATCAACCTGGTGCACGACCAGGCGTTCAAGCACCTGCCCTCGCTGCAGAAGCTCGTACTGAACCACAACAAGATCGTCAACCTCGCTCGCGACTGCTTCTACGGGCTGCGCGGGCTGCTGCATCTCGACTTGCGCAACAACGACATAACGATGATCGGCGAACGCAACTTTGCGGAGATGCCGGAGCTGCAGGTGCTCGAACTCGACGACAATTATATCCAATTCCTGGTGCCTCACGCGCTCGACGGTATTCGCAAGCTACGCAGGCTTTACCTCAGCGGCAACGTGCTGTCGAACTTGGACCCAAACACCCTCGTGGGCGTACCCAACGTGCACTTCCTCGACCTGCGGCGTAACAACCTCAAGACCATGAGCATCGACAACATCAAGCCGATCATCACTAACCTGTACAATCATAACAGCAGCCTCTACTTGAGCGGTGAGTCACTCTCAACTGTGGTCTTACATTGATATTCAGTAAATCGCGAGGATTCAGAGATATTTTTATTTTTACTTTTATTTTTTAATTTTGCTTATTTTTATCTTTCATTTCTTTAATTTGCGTCAAGCGTATGTGACGTTGCAAATTGCAATCTGCGTTCGATGCTGCGAATGGTCAGTTGCTACCGTTTTGAGAAACAGAACCTGCTGAGAGCCTGCGAGATGGCTCCGGGTCTTCAGATTCTGTAAGCGCTTTTCAGGAATAGATATGATGGAACTATTTGATATGCAGTTTTTATTCTTCATTTCGACATTATCGTGTCGTGAATTCGCTTTTAGAGCTTTCAGAATAGTTGCGGATGTTGTACATATTTTTAGAAAATCAATATTTGGAATCATGTAATATCTTGATCAAAATATCTTGATATTCCATCTGTATTTAATATTCATTTTGAAATCCAATATTCACATGTTAGGAAAGAATCTATTGATAGCTTTCGGAATAGCTACAGATTCTCTCCCTCTCTCTCTCTCTCCCTCTCTCCCTCTCTCTCTCTCTCTCTCTCTCTCTCTCTCTCTCTCTCTCTCTCTCTCTCTTTCTCTCTCTATTTATGCAACTCTGTTTAAGAAATATTTATTTTTAACCCGAATAAGCGAAAATTAATTGTGCAACTTAATCACAGCCAGAGTACACACAATGAACAAACACTAAACAATAGATGTAGATAAAAATGTAATAAATCAACTTTGTTTTTCTGGGAATTCAAAAAGAATGAGATGGAGGAGATTGAAGGAGAGGATAAGAGTCATATGTTCAGAAATAAATTTAAATATCAATGCGGTTAAGTCTGAATTTAGTATCATAGGGGAATTAAGTAAAATGAGTAAGAAAGCGTTAACGGATTCGTGGAGTTTCATTAGAGACACGAATCAACGCTTGCGAGAGACTCAGAGTGAATTCTGATTCGACTTTCGACTTGGCCGACTTTTAACACGTGCGACGACCTTGACTGCCTTAAGGGTGCGTAATATTTCGCGAACGTTGATTGTCCTCATTTCCCGGTCGCAGAGTGTGCGTGTCATTGATAGATGGGCGACTATGTTCGCCGCGCGAGTGGCGAGGAATGACTTGTTCTTTTTTGCCGATTGTTTCGCTACGTTCACGCTTTTTCACATGTCTTTTTCGCGACCGACATTACATGACGATTGAAATATTTCATCGGTCTTCGAAAGATCAGGTTTATGATTGCTTTAGTCAATGATTGCTCTAGAGAGAGAGGAAGAGAGAGAGAGAGAGAGAGAGAGAGAAGGAGGGGGGGAGAGAAAGATAAGTAATGTAGCTACGCCCATTCAGCTTGTGGAGGCAGCGCAATAGCGTGTGAGCTAACAGCTTGTAACAAGAGGAAACAAGGGACGAGCTAATTTTGATTAATTCAGAGATACAAAAGCTCGGCGAAGTCGTAAGCGTACAAGTTACCGGGGAATGAATCTCTTTTTTCTACAAATACTTAAAACTTACAAAGTTGCTCGTTCGAAAGCTGAAGCTAGTTACATATTTATGACATGGACAACGGAGGATTAATTCGCGAAAATCTCACCGAATATCATTATTTCAGACAGTCGATTTTAGAGGGAGATAATAAAAGGGACGTAATAAAAAATGAAACACACACGTTGACGATGCAAATTGTGGTGGCCATTTATTTTAAATATGCTATTAACTTGTTCTAAACGCATTGGCCGTTAATAACTTCGCGTCGGTTTAATCCGCTAAATGTATCGGATCACGGTTTTATTTTTATCCGTTTTCAGCGTCCGCTTTTTCACGCTTGGCTTCGGCCCAGCGTGCCCGGCACAGCGCGCGTTCGTTTACCTGCGTTCGTAAAATTAAAAAAAATATAATGCGTTGATAGCTTTGACGTTTCTCCCCCGCCGCCGCCGCCGTGCGGTGCATACGGACGGATAGAAATTTTTACCGCAGCGTACGTAAGAGGATTTCAAGCGCGTTAATGGACCACGATATTCCTCGTTGTGTGTATCTCGTCAGGACGGCGGTGTCATCGGCCGCCGACTGTCGAGAATGTGTCAGCGATCAAAGCGATTGCAGCCACATGATTCGTTACGAATTAGGTTGTGAGCGTGTCGTCGCTGCGCGACCACATCACTCTCCGTGGGGAGATGGGAGGGTTAGGTGGCTCCGGCTTCATTAGCTTTAAAGTGACACAGGCGGAAATTAGGCCTCGCAATCACTTAGGCGCGCGTGGGGTCAGATACGGGTCAAGATCCCAATCTCCCGCGTCGGCCGCGACGCGCGACGATTCGCTCAATTCCCGTCAAAGCCGCGAGTCGTGAACGCGAGAGAGAAATGGCTCTTTTTTGTCCTGGAAATGAAGTCGCTGCTCGGTCGAGTCGGAAATCCGACGTACTTCGAGCTTCAACGAGGTCTCAGCGTTTATCCAGGCCAAAACTCGTTGATCTTTCCAATCGCTCGCAACGCGTTTGAACATTGGTTGTCGATTATTCGGCTAATGCCTTATTTCGACACCTTGACGTGTCACATTGTACATGCCACGCCAATTTTAATCGTAATGTACATCATATCGTGTCATAGATTTGTTTCTCACACACACTTTTAATTAAACTATTCGTTTGGTCTTTCTGGATGTGTTGATCTTGTGGTATAAAATATGCCAATCGAGATCGTATCGCGTCGCGTTTCATCTTTCGCAGTTTGTTGCTCTCCGCTTAATGTTCTTCACGGTCACCCTTGAAAAATAAACCACTCGTTTAATCTTCCTATTTTCTTTCGCATCCTGTCGCATTCATATCACATCATACCGCCGAGAGATACGTGAATGATTAAGAGGACCGAGGCGAGTCTTGTTCCGGTAAATGTTGAAGTTTTATTAAAGCGCTTGGCGCGCGCCTCCGTCGAGAATTATTATTGGCACGATCGTCGAGAATGGCGATCGCAAGAGGGTCGTTTGAAATTTAACAATCGAAATCCACGGGTTACCGGCTGATACACACACCCACACAGCCCTACCGCTCACCCCTACTTTCAGAACGCTCTTTACAATCCTTTTGTTTCACGGCTCCGCGCACTCCCGTTTCTTTGCCCTCGCCCTCTTTAAATTCCCGTCTCTCGTTCGGGCTAGACATCCCGCGGCTTTATTTCCATTAACGAAACCTTCCGTCCTTATAATACGCGCGGACCTTTACGATTCTCGCGCTCGCACTAAACGCGAAAATTCCTCGCGCGCGTTGAGACTAACGAACGACCATGACGACGCACAGGAGTAGAGTTTCTCATTTTCCGCGCGAAGCCGCCGGAGTGACACTGTTCATGGACGATTCTTGCCTTGCCTTGTTCTTGCCAGTGGCATAAAAACCTCGGCTTATTAGATGCCAACTCTCTCTCTCTCTCTCTCTCTCTCTCCCTCCCTCCCTCTCTCTCTCTCTCTCCCTTTTCCGCCCTCTCTCCCATCTTCTTTTTTACCCCCTCTCTCTTGACGACTGAGCATCGCTATGTAACCCGCGACGGCGTTCGAACCGAGTCTTCCTGTGTCGTTCGTCGAACTTGTCGAAACTCGCCGGCTGCGCGCCGATGGCCGTCCCGATGGCCGGCAATCACGACGACGCCAGTGCTCGCTGCAGCGGCGGCAGCAACGGTAGTAGCAGCAACAACAACAACAACAACAGCAGCAGCAGCAGCAGCAGCAGCAGCAGCAAAACGATTGTTGCGACTCCGCGGAAAGTTGTTACGACGAACCGCTCCCTCCTGCCCTCCTTTCGTCGCCCGCACTTTCGCCGAACGACTAATGGAGTCAGATCGGTACCACGCGAGGCGAACTTACTCGTCAAAACTTGAACAAGTTTCCCCGCGCGCGCGCGCGCAAGGGTGACAGGGAGAGCGAGCGAGCGAGAGAGAGAGAGAGAGAGAGAAGAGGAGCGAGGAGCGCCTCTTAGACAGCAGAGAGGGTTGGAAGGGGAAGGGGGTTGGAAGGCAGCTGCGAATTATACGCTTAATGAAGGACGTGATGGACACGAAATACCGCGACGTAATCGCTCGGCTGGAAATGCTACGGGTGTCCGCTTTAACCGTCGCTTCGTTGGCGTCCTGACGGGCTCTTTAATAGCATATTCATGGCTTTGAACGGAGAATACTTCCCGCTACCGGGAAAACGTTCGACTGAGAGAATATATCTCCGCAATAAATTCTGTTTTCCGAAACACAACCCCTCCCCCCACTCGTCCCCGTTATTTTCTCCCCTCTCCCCCCCCTCTCTCTCTCTCTCTCTCTCTCTCTCTCTCTCTCTCTCTCTCTCTCTTCGATCTCTGTGTATCCTCTCTCCGCATATGCATAATTTCTCGATTAGCAGCGAATCGAGATATTAATTAATACTCTTGCGGTAAACACACGGTGACGTACGTTGATTGTTTTAACTATCGCTGTGCGCGGCGGACACGTTCTCGTGTGTGTGTCCGTCCGCGAGAATTGCATTATTTATTAGTAGCTGCGGTTTTCGCGGATATTTCCGCATTACGTTCTCGCGTGCACGTTTTCCGCCCTCGCTTTCCGGCGCCTTCGTTAAAATTTCCAAACGTAATGCGTTGATGTAGCTTTCGGAGCTTTCTGTCTCGCCAACGGCCTGCTCGCGCGCTACCTCGTGAGATCCTCCGTGAGGTTTTCCGCGAGTTCTCTCTCTCTCTCTCTCTTTCTCTTTTTCTTTTTCTCTCTCCCCCACCGAGAATTCTAGTTTGAGCACCTCTGCTCGCTCCGTAGAGAGATCGCATACGCAACTAGCTTTTCCTCCCCCGCTCGCCTATATGCTCCCTCTTGCGTTTACCGCTCGTCAATTTATCAATTTCTTCGCCGCCCACCCGCTAAACACTACTCGGCGGTATTAACCGCGCGAGGCGGAGAACAGTCGCAAAGCGGCACGGAGCGGACATCAAACACTTTGCGAAGATTCCGCGAAAAGATCCCAACGGGAG